ATCATGACAACTACTATGGCAGACGACTTCGGACTCGGTCTTCCTGAACACAAGACCAAGTTGCGACAACAAGGTGAACCCACTTCTATAAATGGGAAAGAGACTGTGACCATACCCGAGGCCACAACATCTTGGTCTTGACATCTTCAATTTAGCTACGTTTTATGTTTCGTCTAAGTGTGTGGTGCTCGAATGAAGTGGGTCACTTTTGAGGGACACAAGAACGGACAAAGCCACTAATTTTTTTCCACATTAACACATCCCTCGGCAAAATGTCATTTGCCCAAACAACAGGCCCTTTTAGCTGGCATAATTCATGCAATCTGTGTCATTCCGTCCGTCCTCCGTCCTCCGACTCCGACCGCCTGGCTTACTCCACTCGGCCGACAGCGTCCACGGGCCGCCCGAGTGATCCCATCGCCACAGGAGGTGGGGGCAGGGTGGGGAGCTGGGGCGAAGTGTGCTCGATTGCTGCTGCTGGCCGGGGCCAAGACCCGGAAACTGGTGTTGTGTGATCGCAGTGACAGAGTGTTATTTATAATTGAAGGGCAACAGAGTGAAAGACGTGCATGCACGCAAAGTGTTTAGCACTAGTGCAGAAAGACGACTGGAGAAGGAGAGAGTGAAACGGCATGTGTGAGAGCGAGATGTGGGCTTGTGGTGAAGGGAAGAACGAGAGTGAAATGGCCGATTGCGGACGACGACAGACGGTGGGGATCCCGAGGCAGAATGGAATGTCAACCGGCCTCTTGCGACGTCTCTGCTGGCGACTGACAGTTGTACCCGATTTCTCGGTTGCTGTACCGACTGACCTTTTTGTCCGCCGACCCAACGGAACTGGCGCTCGCATCGGTTGTCCCGTTCGATCGGTTTAGATAAACATGCGTCGGGCTGGCGAGAAGTAGCGTTTGGCGTTTGGGGTTCGGCGTTTGGGGGTTACGGGCTCGGCTCGGGGAGTCGGTGGAGCTCGCTTTCGCCAGCACCAACGGACTCTTCACCTGCTCGCCGAATGGCGCGAGTGTTTGCAAGCGCCGCTGGTTCGCATGTTTTGCTCACACATTACACGAGACTGACATTCTGGAACACTATATCCATCCAACAATGTAAAACTCTCTCTCTCTCTCTCTCTCTCTCT